TTATTCATACCACTATCTCCCTATATTTCTTTAAAGACGACTGTCAAGAGGTAAGTAGAATAGAAACTCAGTCATATAATTTATTTAAAATGTTCTCGAGCCTTCTTAGAAGCAAATAAACTATTCTTCCTTAGAGATAGCATTTTCCCTTCACTGCCTACTTACTTGACAGCCTTCAAGTTCTATGAATACACATCTCCTCAAGAATATCATGATGAAGAGATATGGACAGAAAATTCACAAATTGTGACTAGTCAAGTAATAAAACCATTCCTACGAATAGTAACTTCGGATGATACGTCATTCTTTAATATGGCATTCGTTAGAAACGTGGCAAAGCAAAAGAGCACAAACTTGCTGAAGAAAGCCCATTCTAGCAAACTATAAAGACTTCCAGAAAAAGTTCTGAAGAACAAAGTAGAATAATATTTGCCACTAATAGGTATGAATGCCAACACTAAAAATAATATCCTAGTTACTAATATTTTAAATTAGCTACCAGTGATAAACCATTAGAGAAGGGTGGAATGCATACATATATTTTTAAAGAAATAGGGATAAATAAAACTAATAAAGTAGTTCATTTTATTTTATGTCAAAAGACAACACAGAACCTCTGAAAATGATGTGCCAGCTTTGAGTACATATTAAATATTTTTGCAGCAGAACCTACTAATTATCTTTCACATTAAGCAAGGTTTCCCTCTTTATACTAGAACTTCTCAAAGAGAAGAGAGTCATCACATAATTTTAAGAGATAGAGAAACTTTAAAAAACCCAAACCTAAAATAACAACAACAAAACCCCCAAAGTACAAGATATGTAAGCAGGCGGACTATTTAGGAGCTGGAAGAAGACTTGTGGGGAGTGTGTGATAGGAGCAAATTGCATTGTGATACTTATATATAAGAATGTCACAATGAAAACTATTGTGCAGTAAGTAAAAAAATAATAAAACTGAGACACACAGAGGAGAAAGAGAGAGAGAGAGAGAGAGAGAGAGAGAGAGAGAGAGAGAACTAAAAACCAAATCTCCAAAGACTCTTGGGCAAAGTGCAACATTCTACTATTTTTTTAGTGTGGGGGTCTATGCTGAATACCAGAAATAAAGAAACAAAAGTCTAACACCACAGAAGACTGTAAAATGCTTGGCAGCACATTTCATTTTCAATGAATGATATTAGTAGTTAGAATACCAGAAAAGGAAAAACCAGGTTGCTACGAAAGTGCATGACAGCAAAAGTACTCAAATGAGAGAGAATATTGGAGGAGCTGAACCCAAGAGAGGGTGGGTACAGAGGGAAAACCCTAGGAATCTCTCCAAACGGGTAGAGGGATCCAAGAGAGGGCAGAGTATAGGAAGGGGAAGAGCAGGAATTATGGAAGGGTTTGGAGAAAGGGAACAGAGTAAAAAGTGTGACAGAACTAGTGAAGTGAAGGAAACAAATGATGAAAGACATTAGTGCAAGAGAACTTCAAAGATATGCCAGCCTTTGAGATAACTGGGCCCCAAACCAAGGAGAAATACAGAAAGCAAACGAATGAGAAGAAAGAGGAAGACTAACAGGATGAGGAGGGAGAAGGAAGAGACAGAAAGAAAAAGAAAATTGGAGAAGTTTGAAGCATGATATTCATAAAAGCATGTAAGTCAGAAAATTTATCATTTAAAGATATCAAAAAACTTCATCTTATAAAGACAAACAGATCTGGTTAACAGAAATTTTTAAAGATTTTTTTTTAAAGACAGGGTCTCATGTAGCCCAGGCTTGCTACCAACTAAATAGCCAAGGATGACCTTGAACTTGTGACCCTCTTGCCTTAACTTCCCAAGTGCTAAGGCTACAGGTGTGTGCTACCACATCCAGTTTGTGTAAGGTGCTGGGGATTGAATCCAGAGTATCACGCATACTAGGTAAGCACTTTAACAAATGTGCTATATCCATAACTATAAAGTGTTTTTATAAGAAATAAATCTTTGTCAGGCATTATTCAACAACAACAACAACAAAAAACCAGGACATTATAAACCTTGAAGCTTGTTGTAATTTTTTATTTATTTTTCACTTTTTATTTATTATTGTGCACATGTGCTGCAGTGGGCATGTAGAGGTCAGAGGACAATTCTGTGGAGTTGGTTCTCTCCTACCATCTTTATGTGGGTTCTGGGGGTCGAACCCAGGTTGTCAGACTTGCTTTACCTAATGAGCCACCTCACCAACCCTGTAATTTTTATTTTTATTGCAACAAAGTATACATCATGTAACCTGAAATTTACCACTTTACTATTCAGTGTAAATTCAGTTGGCATTAAATACATTCATCTGTTTTTACTGCAACTACCATCTTACAAACCTTTTTTCATTATCCTGAACAGATACTCTGTCTTACCTGAATGCTCACTTCCTATTCTCCCCTCTTCCAATTTCTGGTTAACCCCTTCACTTTCTGTCGCCATGAATTTCCCTATTCTAGGTAACTCATGTAATGGAATCATACCATGCTTGTCTAAATTATATCAATCTTTATGTACCACAAACAAATTGTCAAACAAAAACAAGGACTGAAGATTCTAAAAACTGGAGAAGTGGGGAGAGAGGTAATGGAAGATGGATATTTCATCCATAAATGTATGAAATTTTCCATGAACAAATAAATTTGTTTATAAATGGAGAAATTTGAAGGGATGGTGATGGGTTTGTTCAAAATACATTGCATGAAATTCTAAAAAACCAAAATTAAATTAAAATACATTTTGGATCTGAAGAGGTGGCCCCGAGGTTAGGAGTGCATACTGCCCTTGAAAAGGATCCAAGTTTAGGCCGCACCATATCAGGCAGCTCACAACTTCCAGTACCCCAGCTCCAGGAAAATCCAATGTGGTTGACCTCTTTGGTACCTGCACTCATGTGCACATGCCCACAAAAAGATACATGCACATAATTTAAAATAAAATAAATCTTAAAAATACATTTTGACAAAAATTAAACATACAGTAAGATTTTTTTTTAAGTGGTAGAGCCATACCTATACTGGAATATGGTTCAGCAACAAAGCTAACTACATTTAAAATGCTACAAAACAATACCGTGCATAAAAAGTCACTGACAAGTAAATAAAGTATACCATTTATATAAATGTTAAAGACCCAAAAATATATTACAAATTATTTATGACAACATTTATAGGCACTATTGAGAAAACCTATTATAAAAATATAAGCCGTCTTCAGAAAAAAAGATGCAAAGCAAATCGGACTGAAAAGCATATAAAGAGGTAAATATTACATTTTAATTCTTAATAGAAAACCAGAGAATGGGAGTAATGAGAGGCTAAGGAGTATACCACATGCTCAGTATGTGTGAGGTCCTGGGTTCAATCTCCAGTACCTAAAAAAAAATATCATCTAAAGAAAACGTAGCCAAAATTTTAACAGTTGTTAAACGTTTGGTGGATACATGGATGATGTTGTATAATTCTTTGTATTTTTTCTGTTTGAAATTACTTAATAATTTTAAAAGAGGGACCATCACATGTTCTATAATTTAGGACAGAAAATAATATAGTATGTGTGTTCTGAAGAGGGAGGTGTGTTATAAGATCAATTATAGCTTTTCTTCTTCTAGTCAGTTTAATTGGCTACTTTATAAAAAATTAAATTAAAAATTAATACACATTCATATGATCTTTGAAGAAGATATTCATAAAGAAAAGCTAATCAGTATGAGTGTTATTATGGCACTTGAATCTCCTTGAACCAACTATGATTCATATTTTTTAAGTAAATCATTTTGAAAATGTCTATTTAATTTTTTAAAAAGGCATTCAACCTAACTCTTATATAAAGTACACCATAGTTGATTACTGATACTTGAGCATATACACACTGGACAGCCAAATTCAAATATCCAAGTGACACAAAAACTCTCAGCCCCAAGCCCTGATCCGTGACCTTCCTATTAGGCTTCCTCTTAAGCCCAGTGAAATGGAAGACTCAAGTTGTATAAATGATTTTAAATAGTCAATATTTTACACTGTTGTTTTATAACATGGATAAACTGGAAATAAACCTTCTATTGCTGGTTTCTACTCTGTGGAATGGTAGGTTATGTTAGTAAGGCAAAATTTAAAGACCATCAAATAATATAGTAAAAAAAAATCCCAGAATAGTATTAAGTTAAAAAAAAAACACCACGTTTGTAAAAACAAGGATTAAAAGCATGTAAAAAAATATGAAGACGTGGGTGAAGAGAAGACGGGGACTAAAAGTATGTACTATGTATGATAACATAGGGGTGAAATTTTTCATCATCAATTTCTTTCAATGTTAGTTTAATAAAGTATTTAATTTAATCAGTTATTTTTAAAATTATTCAGCATATTCTAAAAAGATTAGCCAAATGGCATCCCCTTTCTATAGCTATAAACCCACAGAAACTTTCCAGAGTATTTTTCTTTAATTTTTTACATCGGCCAAATTCCATTACTTTAAAATCAAGTTCACAGTCAAATTCAGTTAGCTACCTGTGCTCTGGGCTAGGCAAAGTCAGGGAAACACTCCTTATTTCATCTTCTTCCTCTAGATCTGATCTACTATTAAAGCAGACTACATGAGAATAGTAGACTTAATCAAGTGAGGGCTATTCTCTGAGATCAGTGCACTCACAGCACAAACCCTGTGCAAGTCACTGAAGCTCTCAAATCCTGGTGTTTCACAACGTCTAAATTTCTGTATTTAAGACATTCTCCATAGAATCCAAGTGCTTGAAGGTTCATCTCAAATCCTGGACCTATAATCCTGTATCTCCTCAACCCTTTGTAAAACAATGTTCATCAGCACAAGTCTCCCATCTTGCAAAGGCAAGCCAAATCTTGAAGAGTCAGTTATAGCCTTAAAAATAAGTAACATTTATTCCCCAAGAAGAAAACTGATAAATCTCAAACATTTTTTACATCTGACATGGCACAAAACACTTCATACATGTGACATAGATCTCTCACACCTTCTTCCTGGGTCCCGCCACAGACACATAGAATCAATTTCTGGAGAATTCCCGGACAAACTGTTTTTCATAAATTTCCTAAGGGTATACAAAAGATTGAAAATCAACAGTTTTAAGGCCAGTGGTTTTCAAATGGTAAAGACAATTCATTAGTAGGTTGTCTTCTCTATTTTTAAAAATATAACAGAAAGTGATAGGTTATACTGCATGGCATATTGCTTTTACAGAACAGGTGTCAATTACATACTGTCTACATGTATACTGGAAATACAATATAAAATTTATTTTTACTTGTTTTAGGACAATGTTTTAGCTATATAGCCCATGCTGGCCTTGAATTCTGAATCCTCTTGCCTTAGTCAGCTGAGTGCTAGCTAGGATTACAGGTATACTCCCCTGCACTTGTCTTAAATTTTATTTCTTACTGTGAGTAATAGCCAAAAAGTCTAGAAAGTACTGGCTAGATCTTACAGAGTTAGAATTAATGCACAAAGAGGCAGGACAAAGAGAAAACAAACAAACTGAAATAGCAAAATAGATATAACAGGATCCAGAAGTGTCTGGAGACTTAACATAATGCGAGGTACTTAAACAGTGATCATCCACAATAATAAGGGGAATTATGATACTGCTTATTTGGTCAAAATATTCATAATTTAAATACTGTACTCTCCTATATTTGTCTGTCTTGGATAATAACAAGCAGAATGAATACATTACAAAAACTTCATTATCACTTCTCTTTTGCCATATGTGGCGAGGTTACAAAAAGCACGTAGCTGAGACAAGGGCAGCAGTTCAGTGGCTTCCTAATCGAATTCCTTCTGTTCCCAGGATAACAAAAAGTAACTATTCATCGAAGCCGTCCTATCGCTCCTAGCTCACAACACGAATAATGTAGCCAAGTAATTTTGCACTGTTCCTTCTTCCCTTTTTCTTTGTTTAAACCAAACCCCGGGATTCGTGGGAAACAAGGTCACAACTCTTAGCCCTAACTAAAGATACCTGATTTCCATAGAGGTGGCTAGCGGGCGGCGCACCTCAGCTTCCCCACTCTAAAGCAAGAAAAACCATGCACTGTGTGGGGAGGGAGACTTTCCCAGGACTTAGGAGGTAAGGTGGCTCCAGCCAATGCTCCACTGGAGCATCGTGCCAGCTGATCCTGAGCCCCTCGTGGGGCTTCCTGGACAAGAAGGCTTTGCCCGCATAAGAAATAAAAAACGCAATCTCCATCACCACCACCACAACCACCGACAGTGTACACGCACACGCTAGTGAGTGCGCGCTAGGCATGGACAGAAAGCACAACACGTGTCCGTGTCACAGGAGGGGGCGTGGGGAGCGAGTTATACATCCGTGGCTAAACCTCAACCCCTGTCCCACTGACCCTACCCTTAGGCGTTTCTGCCACTTCAGATCTGCGGAAGGCAGAGTTCTCAGATCTGAAATTCTCCATATATATATA